CAGTGTGGTTTGCTTCATCTGTTCCCGTGTGTGTTTCATTTCAGAGTTTTTTCTGTCCTCGTACTTTCTGACTTTATTTAGTTTCATTTTTGAGTACGTAAGACAGGAACGTGGTTCTGAAAGCTGGAACTGGGCTCAGCGAGGAGGCGCCTCCACTCTGCCGTCTGCTGTGCCTGTGCCGTTATCCCCGGGCCTGTGCCCGTTACCCCCGGGCCTGCGTCCGTCACTCCTGGGCCTGTGTCCGTCACTCCTGGGCCTGCGTCCGTCACTCCTGGGCCTCTGTCCATCATCCCCGGCCTCTGTCCATTGCCCCCGGGCCTGTATTCGTCACTCCCGGGCCTGCGTCTGTCACCCCAGCCCGTGAGCTACCCTCTGGACCCATGGTGAGCTCATGCATTCCACTTTATCATATTCTTTCCTGTGTGGTGGTACTTTCCAGAGGCAGCCGCTCTGCACTTGGCCTGGTCACTTGGAGCCTGTCCTGGAAGCTGCCCCCACCCTTCAGCAGTGGCTCCTTCTCCACAGTCCACACTCCTACCTCCGGGCACGTGGTGGTGGTGGTGGTGGTGGGGGTTCCAGCACTGCCCTGAAGAGCCATGCTCGCTGGACAGCCTTGGGCCACCTCCTGTTGTCAGAGTCCTGTCACCGAAGTGGCTTCTGTCAAAAGACGAGCAGATAAATGATTTGGGTAGATTTTGCCAGATCTTCCTGTATCAGGCTCTGGCAGCTTTCATTCCCACCAGCGACATACGCATGCCCGTCCCCACAGGGCTTAGAGAGCGGAGAAGCTGGCTCAGTTGCAGCCTGATGGACAAGGAATGGGATCCCGGTGTAAGGGCCATTTCTCTACCGTTATGCCTTTGGCCTGTTTTCCTGTAAGGATTTTGGTCTTTGTTTCCACAATTTTGAAGAGGCTTCATACATAAGGAACATTAGCTTTTTTTTTTTTTATGGAACATTAGCTTTTATCTGTGACACACATTGCAAATAATTTCTCCCAGTTTCTTTTTTGGGGAATTGGGGGGATGGGAACAGTGCTGGGGAATTGGGGGAAGGGGAACAGACAAGTTGCTGTCCTTTTGTTCTTCAGTCTAGTTGTGGAGGAC